AATCTTTATGTACTAATTACTTGGCTGAGGCATTTAAGCATCCATTACTCTCCAATACTATTTTTCTCTATACTATTTCAATTCACTAAAATTTAACTTTATAACACCACAGTGTAAACTAAACAAACACATAGAATTTGACTTTACGAGTAATTCTAGCCATTAGCATCAATAATTGTTAGTCCGTTAACTATTTGTAAGGTTTTATGGTTTAAAACATATATTTACCCATTTCATTTCACCTTGTTTTCAGCAATATGTATTACTGTAAAAAATATCTTTAATTTTGATGGGGCCCGAATCAGAAGACAAAACTTGGAAAACTATTTCTGATTCACTGACTATACTACATGAGTTTCACTTCAGCATCACCAATGTATCATCTTAGGTGCAGTACATCTAGTTCGTTGCCTGTTCTACACTGACATCGTTAAGATACTTTCGCTGCAATCATGCAAGCAACAAATGTAAATTCCTTTTTTTGTTGCGTCGATCTTTTCCTACGGCTCTTCATCGTCTCTGTTCAGGGTATTTGGATCACATGTAGATTAGGTATAGGGTTTTATGAAGAATTTTGTGAAATAAATGGACAAAGAGAACCAGAATATTCAATTATTACAATTTAAAATGAAAGAAAGAAATTTAAAAACAAGGAATATTTTGGCACAAATTAAAGAAGTAATTTTCATTATTGGGCCTCAAATCCGTTACTTGATTAAAGATATTACCTTTGATTTGAGAAATATGGAAAAGGTAGTTTGGCTTACATTGAAAGATGAATGCGACAATATCTTGGGAAATGTAATGTCTGGAATTAAGAAACTGAACACCACCTGGACTGTTACTAGTCAATGTGGTGCAACATGTCCTGGAATTACAATCCCATTTGTATTTCCTCACACCAATTCTTGGAGAGGTGATTGACAGGAATGGTGAACGATTTCACTAACTGCCATGGAAAGACAATATCATGGAAGATGGTCACCAAAGCTCGATGCGCTCGACTCGCCTTCAAAAAGTATCACCATCCACCCACAAAGGAAAAGTTTCCAAGAACAAATCCTTTGTCGGCGCTATGGTGTAATGGTTGGCGTATCGGACTGTTATACCCATGTTGGCGGGTTCAAACTCGATCGACGCCGTGGATTTTTAAGGGCGAAAAAATTCTTCGTGCGCCTTTCTTCAGAGAGGAAGTAAAGCCGGCTGGCCCATGTAGTAGATTTACTTGCATGTAAAAGAGCCTAAATGACGCCTCTGAGCTAAAATTCAAGTCACATGTTCGTCGCCCAAGAAATATCTCCTTTCTCCGCTACTTGGTGAAAGGAGCGTAGCGAAATTTGCGTGGTCAGGCAGAAGAGTGGGCCTGATGGCCCGAGTCTCGCCACGTAATTAAGGCATTAATTCAATTCAATACCTATTCAATATAATTGACAATCAACTCGATAAACAAAAAAACTAGTGATATTCCGAGAAAAAATAAAATGGCGCGCAATTCGTTTTGCCCGTTTGAGCAAAGGGGTTAGATGGGTCTGCATTTTCCTGTAGCTTCCTGCCGTGTATGCAGAACATCGGCGCCGCGCGCAGACCTGAGCAATCGCACGCTTCGGAACTCGCTCTGCGGAGACAGGGTAAATATTCTTGTACGCGACGCGCGATAGAGTTCTAGCACATTGGTGATTAGGAAAAAGCTTAAGGAGTGGTATTGTAAAGGCATTATCAGATTGAACTACATTCACATTTTATTTATAATATATACACAGATACAGATTTATTACAAAAAATGAATATCATAATTCAAAACTAGTTTTTTAAAACAAAAAAATATTGAAACGATTTAAAATGTAGTCAAAAATACAACTTACACGGAAGGGCTGTCTTGAAAAGATTCTATCGGGCTCCCTGCCCCCGTGGCCAAGGAATGCAATGGGAAGATTTCGTGGACGTACGTGTGATTACTTGAAACAGGGTGTTCCTAATCTCCTAATCTTCCCTACACACGCAATTGTGTCGAGAATTATATTCTACTCTTCATTGCAATGAATTATTAGAATGGTATAATTGATTTCGTTCAGTCGTTTTCATATCTTACCTGTAGAATTTTAATACAAAGAAACCACTTTCAATTGAAGACTAGAAATAAAATAGGATGTACGTGCCATTTTCATACTTTCGACAAAAATAAGTTTATATTTATTTCACTTGAAAAAATTGCTTCAAATTGTTCTGTTACGCATTAAACTCTTTTACATTAGTAACAGTAATTAAACAATAATATATTTTCATAGTTCATTAATGAAATATTTTCAAAGTGCTATAATTCTCTCTGACCAAAGTACCAGATATATTAATGTAAGAAGCAATCAAAGTGCCAAAGTACTAAAATGCTAATGTTATCACTTCTTTACAAAGTTATTGAAATCACATATACATGGAAGATTAAAGTTGGGACGAGCATTACTGTGATTTGAATAACTCAAATATTACTTATTTTAGTGATGTCTTTATAAAACAGAATATGATGTTTGACTAGAATAAATACGGTCATTCTCGTCAGTTATTTCTTGTTTTGTTGTCATACTTTAGAGTAGGTTAATACGGAAGATGTCAATATACTATTATGTCTTTAAGTGCGTTTCTGCGGGAAACGTTGCAGTTAGCCCTGCATTCTACGGCTTGGAATGTTTTCTTGACATGGACTACTCCAAGCGCTACTGTAGAAACTTTCAGGTATTGTGCTTCAGATATTTCGGCAGCTTGCTTAAAGTCAACGAACTTGTTTTCCTTCATCTCATTCAAAGCAAAAGAGGTCTTCTGCTTTACACCATGATAGGTTCTAAATCTGCTGGCACAATTCATTATGACGCACAATTTGTGAATAATTTACCTATAGGTCTATTGTAACATAGTAGTTTATCTACAAAAATAGTAACTTTTAAACAACTTTCTAGCAATGAATACATCTTCAGTAACTTGAAAATCAGCATGTGCTATTTTGTCAGTTCCTTGCCCATGTTATGCCAAAGATTCATCACACTTTTGCAATCGTGTGAAACATCCAAGAGGTTTAAAAAAACAACTTGTTGAAAGTCCAGAGGGAAGGCACGCTACTTTGCATTGGAGCTCTGAGCCTCTTTGTAAAGTCTATCTTTATCTCTGATCTAAAGTCTAGATTTATCTGCTTTCAAATGGTGGCGATTCAATTTCTCTTGCAAAGAAGTTACACAGCTACAGCAATCTCAGCTAAATAACGGTCACCTACAGACAGGTCTTACCGATATGAGTCCTAGTAAATAACTCTGTTACTTATCATGATCTACTTTATATTCGTACAGATATTGGAACAACTGCTTTCTTTGCAAGTATGATAAGGATATGCACGTATTACATTTGCAGCTCAAAAATGCCTTTGGCTTTTTTTAGCTGAAACAACGCTCTAACTTGACTAGCGTATTCTTCCCCATTTCGCAACTTATTTTTAACAGATTGTTCTTTCTTCATTATTATAACTTCGTTTGTATTTGTTATTATTACTATGTTCAGGCGTAGTACAAATGTGAGACAAAAAATCACTAGTAAACATAATATTTTCAAGCAGCTTCAGCTTTCAAACACGTTCTCTCAACGCAAGTGTCTAAATAGGTTTAGTACATTGAACTTACCCTTCGGAGCGCTGGCGCTTTAATCGAATACGTTAAACCTATTGGCACATACACTTTCTACTACCTTTAATACTATAACACTATACACCCCATAACACTATCAAAACTTCCACCTGGAATTTGATTCCTAATAATGTTATAGGGCTGGTCTCATTCATATTATTGTGCTGAAAAGTAAATTTAACAGAAACGGCACTTACATCCTTTTTTACTTGATATCGTCTATTACACTATAATGTGTGAGAGTTGAACACCAGCAGTATTAAGTGTATACATGTACAGATCCAGGTATTTTGTACTTCAATAGAAATTAGGAAGTGCGAACTACCCAAGCACTTTTTTTCTTAATTTGCAAACAAGAGAAGATCGGACGCCGGCTCTCCATATTTTCATCATACTCATTAAGCAGCGACTTGTGCCTGCCGATTTTCTGTCTTACGCGCACATTGATCATTAACGCCCAGCGAGAACACTGATAATCCGCTTCTGTCATGGTTACGTATCGAAAACACAAATTTGTCTGGAAGATGAGATTGTCTGTTGCCTGTCAGTCTTCAAAATGAACCTGGATGCTGGCCACGAATAGAGATGACTGCTTAATAGAGGGAACACGATTAAACGGTAAAATCAATTGGTTCCTACAAAACAAGTCCATGAATGCAGGAGTTCGCTTCAGCAGATTTCACTAGTGCCGCGCTCCCTCTCTAGGAGGCCTTGGCTTTAGTGTCCTGCGCCGCCTTCCGGCCGTACGCGCGCTGATAGAAGTGCGAGAAGAGGAGGACGAGAAAAACGGATTGCGGCACCAGAATCCGCGGCACCAACATCGGGTAGTCGCAGGGGTTGGACACGAACAGCTGCGCCAGATGCAGCCCTACCACCATCTGCTGAACCTGTAGAGAACATTTTTATTTCAAAGTACAAGTATTTTCTGTTTTACGAGGGTACGTGCAAAGTCGAGACAACAAGTTTTTTTTTCAAAGAATTATTATCGGATCATATAATTTTGATTGGTCGCGTGAAAGAAATTCACTACTACTTTTTTAAAGTACATCTGTCAATACTTTTGCATGCAACTTTCTGTTCTTGAGAATAGACGGGGCAAGCAAGTTTATCGATTTTAATATGAACTTGCACCCTACATACAAAAATTGTCGACATGAAAAAACCCGTTCCGGAGGCGCCAGGATGTGCTACAATCATTTAAATGACTGACACTGATGCTGACAGTTGTCATAGATGGAATACGAGCTACTTACCAGTTGCAGCTGTGTCACGTACTTCTTCCACCAGATATTATGAGGATACACTGCCGCAATGAGGTAGTAGGTGTACATACAAGTATGTACGAACGTGTTGATCAAACCCAAAAATGTCGCGTGGCCTCCTATAAAATACAATACAATTTGAGAAAACGACACCAGTTCAAAGCTTATTTTAATATGTAAGAAATTGAGTTTATAGACTGAGCTTATCTGTCTGGGTTGTTGTTGTTTCACATGAAAATCGATGAATATAAAGTAAGTAATGTTTGACATGTTTTAATATATCAGTGTTTGAATATTTTATTATTATGAGTTGATTTTTTTTACAATAGTGCCTTTCACAATTTCACTTAGCTGTCGCATATCTATTCCATTTGGACACACCGGCTGATGTTGAAGTGATTCTGCAGTGATGGTTCTGCGGTGTTTCTGAGCGGGAGTTCCTTGAGTTTCTGGCCCCACAGGGGCAGGATTATCGACACTAGCTAGGAATTCAGTCGCTGTCCGGTGGAGACTTCTAGCGTCCGGATGCTCTGATCGGTAGTTTTCCGTGGTTCCTCCGATCAACACCAGGCGAATGCCGGAGCAGTACCCTAACAATCGGACCAGGAGCCACGCGCGATCTTTCCTTCCCCTTGCTGGTTCTATCTTCATTCCTTACGTCCGCACACTTACACTTATAAGCACTACTATACCACTAAGAGCTTAAAGCTTGTATCCTCTGGGCCGTTCCCCCGTTGGTGGAAGGTACCTGGTTGGGAAAATCCCTGCTAGCTGACGTATAGGTCGTCGCCGAATCTCTACGTGCAGCGAGGGAAGATCATCCATAGTTCACACGACAACAACATTCAGTACACTTACGGGAAGAGTCCCCTTGGACTCTTAGCGCCCTGTATCACTAATCGACTAATGAATCAATCTAATTGGATTTATTTAGTAAAACCCAGTAAGAAAATGTGATGTATGGAGAAGAAGATCATCTGCGCACTTTTTTGTTTCCGAATCCCTTTCCGATTTTTAATCTATAAATAGTTGAAGATGAATAAAAGTAAATTGTACAGGGTGTGCGGGGAGAAAATTCGAAAGTAAGCTATTATAGCAATTTTAAGAATATATTGTCTAATAAACTACGTGGATATTCCGAACGGCTAAGCTTCAATAATCACTCAAACGTTGTCTTAAAAAAGTGATTTATAGGCAAAAATGTGCAATTTTCGTATGCGTAGAATTTCCCCAGAAACATGTAAATTGTTTATTGTTTATTTACAAAAGAAATGCACATATTTGTTCAGAAATAAAGATTATGTGAGAAATATAGGATCAAGCAGCGTTCAACTACAATCCAGAAGTAGATAATTGTGCCAACCAACAATCCAAGAATTGTTCCAACAGTATCAATTAGGAAAATGAAAATAATTCGTGTGTGTTGTAAGGCGTATTAATGTTCTGGCCGGGATAAGACAGATATCATTTTAATATCAAAATTGTTAATGAAATAACAGGTAACTAGATTAATCAACGTTAACTAATTTTTGTTTAATTCAATAGCTCTATTTAATCATTTAACATGATTGCAGGCTCTGAAACCAATAAAAAATTAGTGCTATGAAGTTTCATTCAAACAGACTCATGGACCTAGCGGAGTTTTCAACAGCACACCCTGTATGGTCGGCGGTGTTCCCAACGATAGCCAAGAGTCATCTGATTGCTGAAACTATCAAGGGAAATGAAGGATATCCATTGTATCGCCGGAGATCAGTTGTAGACAATGGGTGATCGGTAGTTGTTAAGGTAAAAGAACAAAAATTTAATGTAGATAGTCATTTATGTGCCAAAAACTCCAAAAGCCGACACTCGCTAAAATTGTCCAATACGTTTGAGGCTCACATCAACGCGAAACATTCTAACTAAATCCAATCAATGAAGTACAAATGTAAATATGTTTGCAAAGTTAGCCATGTGGCTCTATTCGCTGTATAAATGCAAATGACGAAGTTTCTCAGTATCATATCTGTCGCTATATAAGCAGCAATGAAGAATTTTGGCGCGTCTTTTTCTTTGCGATCCACGAATGAACCCATACAGTAGTCCATTTGGCAGTTCATCCAGAAAATGGACAACGAGGGTGTAACACTCAAGGGAACGCGGCGTTCAGAGCGGCAAGACCACCGTCGGCCACTATTAAAAGTTTCTTCCCAGTTTGACAAAATGTTTTCGCTCGCACTTTGCTGTATGCGAGTTTGCCACGCTGTTACACATGGAACGCATCATCGAAATAGTTTCAGCGTCGAAAGCAAGGAACACCAGTTGAAGGGCATCCAAATGTGTTTGCTGGAGACGCTCGAGGTAGCATCTACACAGTACATCTGAATAACGACAAATATTATTATCTTCGATTGCTTTTGGTTATTGTTCGTAGTCCGACATTTTTCAACTACTGAGAACACTTGATAGACATCAGTGTGCAACCTGTCGTGAGGCGTGTCAACCACCACAGTTGTTCGAGAACGATTCGCATTAGATTGATACATTCGAGGATTCCGTCATATCTTTTTTACCGCATCAAATTCGCACATCGGTTGCAATTATCATGCCAACATGTTTCCCCGCGAATACGGAAGATTTGTTGGTAAGATACGAGGATGAAATGTCAGAGGATGTTTCTTATTGTGTACGGCGTACAACTTGAATCTTATACTACAAATGACTGCAGAAATTTACATTGAGACTTTCATTATGATAGAAGACTTGTATTTATTAATGGCAAATAAAGTATTGTTGTATTTGGTCATGACAGCACCCAATAGTCCTATTCGCTATTAACCACAAATTACAAAGAGAACAAGAGTATGACACTGAAGAATTGGTCGAAACAAATACAAACATCCCGACATTGAATATGACAACAAAGGAATGTGTACGATACTTCGATAGAAGCTGTGAATGTGGCTCTGGTGGATTTAACTTCGTTGATGCTCCCAGAGGGGTTGGATAACGTTTCTAATTTTTTTGCTAATGGCGAAGAGCAGATCGCAAAATGAATGTCCCTAGCGTTGGCATCATCAGGAATACCTGCGACTTTGTTAGAAGGCGAACGAACTGCACACTTTGCCTTGCAATTAACATTAAACATACAAATCAACGAAACACCAGGTTGCAACATCGCCAACACCAATGCAATTTCCAACATTCTACAGGCATGCAGATTGATCGTTTGAAATGAGTGGACGATGGATCATTTAGAGATCACTGGAGGCACTAGACAGAACGTTGAAAGATCTTTGTGACAACCGAAACATTTTTGGTGAAGCCATGATTTTGTTGTCAGGTGATTTAAGTCAGACTCTTGTACTTATTCCCCGAACAACTGTTGCTGACGAATTAAATGCAGGTCTAAAATCACCCAATTTGTGGTGGCACGTGAAGACACTCCGATTGACAATTAACATGCGAGTGTTTCTGCAACAAGTTCAAACTGAAATAGTGCTTTTGAAGCAGTAATTAGACATTGAGAATGGTGAAGTCACAGTTGACCCTTCGACCAGATTCGTCACATTACCCACATATTTCTGTCACTTCACACACTGGAAAGAGAAGCGTATTCATGTTGTTTCGAACATAGCGCAACAGTTCAATAATAGTAATTGGTTGCGTGATTAAGCAATATTGGCAGCGAAAACAAAGATGTCGACAATCTCAATGCGGTAATTCACACTTTTCTTCCGGGAGAGCTATTTTCCTTTAAATAGGTTGACACAGTTATAAATTAAAATGACGTAGTGAACTATCCCACAAAGGTTTTGAATTCACTGGCTAGACTTCACAATTTGCAATTGAAAGTAAGATCAGTTGTAATCATGATGAGTAAAATTAATCAACTCGACTTTGCAATGGAACAAGACTGGCTTTGAGAAAGCTAATAATTAACTCCATCGAGGCAATCATCATTAAACCAAAATACAAAGGAGAGGATGTTTTGATTCGCGTATACTGATGATTCCAACTGATTTAACTTTGGATTTTAAGCGTCTTCAATCGTGCGTCTGATGCGTCTGGCGTTTGCGATAACCATAAATAAATCGCAAGGCCAGTCGTTAGAAGTTTGCGAAATGTACTTGGCTTTCCATGTTTCGAACATGGACAATTATACTCGCGTGGTCACACCTCGGAAAAGTCATCTTTGTATATTTACGCTCCTTAAAACATGACAAAAAATATAGTTTATCAGAAAGCTATAAATTTATTAACTGTATTGTAACTATGTAGTATTAAATGTAGATGAAGAAATAATATTAATTTGTATTGTAAGCAAGTTTTATTTAATAACCACATTAAATAGTGATAGGTCGCAAAACCGCAAATTGTACGCAGTTACTCACTTGTTGAAATAATTATCTGTAACACAAAGATTAGGTAATCTGTCACGTGGTACAAATACGGGCCGAACATTGAATGTTTGTGTATATATGAATACGTTAAAACCAAAATTCGCTGATTTTAAAGTAAAATTTAATTTGATATTTTCATTTAGTTTTTAGTGTCTCTCTCATCTGTCTTTGCCTGATTTGTCTTACAGCGAAACATTTTTAACATATTACCTGCAAAATATTTCACACCAATCCAGCCTAGAAACACCATGTTACTGTGGTGATACAAGTGCAGGAAAGTGATTTGGTTGTTTTTCTTACGAAGAACGAAAAATATGGTGTCCAATAAGTCGGCAACCTTCAACCAGAAGTAAAGATTCACCAGCCGGATCATCTGTAAAGACTTTGAATTTCTAAAAACATTCCATGTAGATATTTTTAAATTCAAAAATCTCTGCTTTTCTGCGCAATATCAACTTAAATCTCAGAACTAGCTGGAAGACCTATATTTTAATATTTTGGACAGAAATACTTCCGTAATCTTAAAATCTTTCCGCAAAACTAGCGTGGCCATTAAAATATTAAATTGTTTGGTGTAATTAAATCCTGTGGTTTAAAAAGATGATTTGAATTTTAAAAAACGATAAATTATTTTTTTATTTGTTTCAAAACATATCTGCTGTACTTTCAATTATTTTCGCGTATTATTACACTATTTCAATTATTTTGCACTTTAACTTTAGAAATACTGCACTTCTGTATCTACAGAGACAGTCGGAATGGCAACTTAAAAATAGTGGTATATACTTGCTGGTAATATTACTACATTTGCAATTGTTTGAATACTTAGATTCCAACGAAAATTAGAGATATGTCATTCTTTAACGCGTTTTACCAGTGAAAAAAATGGAAGAAAAAATTTTAATTGGAATTTAATAAAATGCTTTTTTTATAAATTGTTATTTCAAGTGCAAATTATCATAAATTACTCGCTTTTTTCAAATTGCGCTTGACCTTTTTTAAAGAGCTGATTTTTTGGAACATATTTACTTTAATGCAAAAATCTAGGTCTTCAATTTCGTAATTTTCAGTAGTGAAAGTTTGCAATTTTCGAAAATAGCGAGTTCGCCGGAAAAGAGACTATATCCAGTTTTTACCGTATTTAAAAATACCACGCAGTAAGGTCATAATGCGTTTTCGTCACATTTCTTTGATATATATATATATATATATATATATATATATATATATATATATATATATATATATATTGAAGTCCTTCTTTATACATTGCATCAGCTAGTACAATCGTTTCATATGATTTCTTATGAAGTTTTTTCGGAAAATCAAAATTTCGTGTGGAATTCAGCTCAATATTGCACAGAAATGCTCGAACGAAATTTTCTTGAAATGTCACAAAATGTTTCAATAAAAATTGGCATTTAGGGCCTTGTTTTATTCTTCGGTCAAATTCTTAGCGCCATATTTCAATTTTACTGTTTGGGGACCGAAAAAAATATGTGGGGAAATATATTTGAGTCGCCGATAAGTAGTAGTTCGGGAGAGGGTGGAGCGAAACAGAATAGCTGGTGCAGAATAAATGAAAAGAGAGACTAACTAGTACGAGAAATTTGCCATTAATCTAGTATTAGCCATTAATGTAAGCCATATCTTTTATGGTTCACGTAATTACGAAAATCTAAAGAATATGCAGTGATACACAATAAGAAAGTACGCATTAAGTAGAACACTACATGGCTCTACGGTTTGAATATTTTAACAAGAATAGCTGATTAATAGAATGTATGATATTTTACCTCTAGAGCACTGGGTGAATTCGAAATGTCAATGGGTTCGCACCGCCAACTGTAGGTCGTAAACCAAAACTGAGATCCAAGCTGAAAATTTCATCAAATTATCAATGTGGTTTACAAGAAAAAAAGTGATAAAACTAAAAATGTTAAGAATACTGCTTATGTAATAGTTTTCTCCGTTCCTCTCTCATATTATAATTAAAATTTAATATTGTATATAAAAGTCATTTACAAACGTATGCCTCCTAAGTGAGTCTTTAAAGAAAATGGTCGACTGTGGCCAGGTGTCCGGTTACCCATAGGTACAGCAATACCAAGCAAAATCTTTTAAAAAAGTTTGTGTTTTAAATATTTCCCACACCAATACACAATATTAATATAATTAATTGTAATTTACTCCTTGTATCATGCCCTAATTTCAAATATGTACCTATAATTTCTCTACCACGTGTCATTTTTGTGTTGCTTTTCATATTGTGAATGTGCGAATTATCCCCCAAAATAAGAACTTACCTAGTTCACAAAAATCATCAGAAAATAAAATATTGGACATTAACCACGTGCCACGTCGTGATTGGAAATATATTCTTAGGTTTTCTCTAATACGAATAGTTTCGGTGATAGAGCGACTTTCATATGTTGACCGTGCGAAACCCCAACAGCAAAGTCGTCCCTCTAGAAACTACTGTTACTGGGTGTGAAATGAGCATTTCTTTTGACTAGCTTATCTCAAAACACAAGATACAGATATATGTCTCTCTCTCAATTCGCTAGAGAGTCAAGTGTTATCAATGTAGGTTTTTCGATTTTCGCTTAGAGACACAATGTTAATATAGAGTAGTGTTCTTGTGGCGTGCGGAAGCGCGGGTGTCTCTTTGCTCTGTATACTTTTGCTATTAAAATTGCCTTCGAAATGCCTCGAAAATGTAATATTAATCCAAACCATTTTGCAACGTGCGTGGTTCAGCGGCGTGGATCACAACATATTCTCTTCTCTTCATATCAAGCTTCAATTAATTGTTTGGTGTAGACGATGGGTGAGACAAATGGAGCATTCTTCTGTTCCTGTGCTTATGTGACATAAACACGGGAAACATTCCTTTGGAACAATTCTGTGTTTATGTGAAAAGTTTCCCAACATCTTCGGATTAAAGAGAAAGAAGGAATCTGGAAGGGGGGGGCAAAATTAAAAAATTGAAAAGATAATGCGATCACCCAAACGATGACCCCAAAAAATAATATATATGATTGTATATATATACGTATAAATAATATTCTATGGTAAAAGAGTTTCAGTGAACCGGTGCCACGTTTTTAAGAGCGTCTTGATTCATGCGCATTCTTACGGAGTTTGAGTTAATTGTCAGGATTCTATTAATTGCCATGTATTACAGGAAAATATTAACACAACAGCAAACATGTTGGAAGAACTCGTTGTGCTTAATAATGTGTGTCAACAGAGCATCTAACTACCAGAACCGCTTATACGCTGCCGGCACTTTTCAGATCCGTGAATACAATTATCGTTATCTTCTAATTTGATAATGAAGTGAATGGTGATGTATGTATAGTAGACTGAGAGGCAGAGGAAACGGGAGAGAGTAGAGAACACCTGCCAAACATATGTACTAGCGATATCATCACGAACCATCCACAATCTACATCGACTCATATCATCTAGCAAAGAATTTCAATTTCCACGCAAACTCTTTCTGTATGTCCGTAAAAGCCACCTACGATACCAAGTCCACTGTAGAGGGTCGGACGTAGGGGGGTTTGATTTGATTTCTTCCTTTGATTTCAACGCACTCAGATCACTATTCTTACTGGCTTAAATCGAAACAACCGCGCAACTCGCCTGGCCCTGCCGATGACGCCAGAATCCGGGATCAGTCCTACATCACTACGCGAAGCACCTCCGTCTCGCTGCCTGCAACTCAGGAGTATCAGTGTTCTATTTTGTTATCTGTGCCACTGTGATCGGCACGTGTGCAAGACTTGTTAAATTCTGTTAGTACGTTCTATGAGAAACTGAACTAGTTACAAATGATTGCGAGATAACTTGTATAGCAATGTCTTAAAAGCATTGTTCGAACTTCTAAGCAATGTGTGAGACTGATTTATAAAGTGCGTTTGTAGAGCATTACTTTATTTGTGCAATGTAGCATACGTATTCTATATTTTATGATTCTCTTGGCAATCAATTGAAATAGTAACCGTGATGGAACTATTTTCACACGTACTGTAGAACATATTATAGTTCCATTATCTATAATGTGATCTAACATGTGAACACGTGCGCCAACGCTATAATATCACGTTATGTGGTTATTCTAAGTCTGTCGATGCAGTGTGTTGCTCTGTATGCGCGCAGCAATTTGTCTCTCAGCTCCGTAACACAGATGAGTTCACGGGCTCTCAATGGCTGACCCAACTTCCCTGCCAGGCGGCGCGACTCAGTGTGAGTTGTTTGTCTATAGTCCAGGAAGGCGTGCGCACCACCTGCCCAGTTTTATGGTCTCCTGATGTAACGTTGCTCAGTTTTATGTTTTTCAACGGTACCCACGGTACTCAATATGGAGTGCTGTGATTTTCACTTGACAACACAAAATTAATTCTTATTCATGCTATTTCTTAACACCTAAATTTTTGTCTCAAGACATTCAAGTCATTATTTATAATAAAGATTGCTGAACTGATTAATTTTCTATGTAACAATTATTCACTCTAATTATATGCTTCTTTAATCAAATAACGTCTTTTGAATTACCCAGAATGATAGCAATCTCCCTGGAATATTGTGTACATTATTTCAAACCTCAACGGTGTGTTTGTTCACTACCAAAAATATACTGGTAAATAAGTAGAAAAACATAATCGTCATGCAGTAATGGAAACCAATTATTATCCCAATAATATTTGTCTACTTGCCACCTAACGACTGATAGGGAAGATGGTAATCTGTTGTACTATCAGTTGCATCACATTGTAATGCAATCCAATAAGAATCTTCAATGTAAAGGGATCGCAGATAATTACCAATTATTATGATATGCAAATTTTCATATGACAAAGTTAGAAACGTGACGTTTGCCACTGATTGTCAGGTAACTTCTTATACACCAGTATTTGGCAAGCACACGTTACTCTTTTGACTACATTAAAACTGATCGGTCGACCACCAATGCATAGAACCAAGGCCGAACAAAAAGAGTTGTCTTCTAATCAGAGGCAAATGCCACATGTATGTGTTATGAAATTTTGCGCCACAAAAAGATTATTTTCGACCCGTCTGCATGTCTAAAATTTCGTAGCAATTATTTTGCGAAATATCCATAGAAAAAGAGCTATTTTTTTCCTCCTGATTTTTCGTTAGACGCTGCATTTATAAACAATGAGAGGCAACGTACCACATAGAAGATGTAGATGTTGACGATAATCTGCAGAACATTGTACACGATGAGCGTCGTCTTCAGTTCAAACGGCTTCCGGTCGCGCATGATCCAGGGGCCCAGGCGATTCGCAAACAGTGCGTAGGCTGCCACCAGCCCCAGCACCGTGAACGGCCGCATCATCAGCGGCAGATACTGCACTCGGGGATCTGTAACAATTTAACGTGCGTAGTGGCAGGAGCTTCAATTCAGGTTTGCCAGATGTTTTGCAAACTCTTTCTCCACCCCTAAAACGTATTTTCCTCAAAAAACATACCTAAAAAATCAAAATACTCAAATTTTGAAAAAAAAATCGAATTGCCCACTTTCGGAGACCTACGAATTTAGAGAGAAACAGATATTGCCCCTGGCGATTCTATTGGCTGTCCTCTTAAATCCAAATAATTCAAATCAACCAATGAGCTGCTGCCAGCCCTATATGTTCGTTATTCTTGTGTTTTTCTAGGTCTCTTGTTTATTGCTCTCATTGGGAAAATTAAAAATGAGAGAATTACGTCCATTGTTTCTTTTTTATTCATAATTGAGAGAATAATATATCTATCTCGACCTGAGATAAACATAATTTTCCAAAACAATCCTCAAACATTTCCCCGTCCATGTTCTCCATTCTTTCCCTACAACGAAAATTTTCTAATCTGGCAACACTACTTCAATTCATTGATGCTTTATATTACGGGGCGACATTCAGATCTTTTGAACACGCAAATTTCGGTACATCCTTTTACCATCTAGCAGAAACGATGACACTACTCCGTCGACGAAACAGGTGATTTTTTTAGCTCAGAGGCTTTTTAGGCTTAAGTATACTTTACATGAAGTAAATCTATTACATGGAAAAGTCGGCGGAACCAAAGTTTTTGCTCACTAAAGTAAATGTTTTCATGAAAGTTCTTATAATAACTCAATCAGCAATTTTGCCCCACACCGAGACTCGAACTCAGGAGCTCCTCACCTTGCGCATTACCTATTATTCCAAGTCAACAGCTCAACTTACCAACTCGGGCCGACACTAAAAAATCTAATTGACTCAAACCAATATATTCCAAACGCTACATACAACACTTCAGAGAGACTAACTTTGACGCCCAATTACTCAAAAATTCTCATAATTTAAAAAAATTCATTCAGGACCTTATGTAAAAAATCTGTTTCTGGTTATATATTTATACATTTTACATTATACTGTAATGCAACCTCAGACGCCAATATGTAACGCACCAGCGCCAGCGGACACCGATTCCTGAAATGCTTCACTGTGAGTCACACTATCATAAGGGGGAGGGAATTGCCATCACACTTAAGGTGCGACGGTCGCTTCCAGGCACCAGGATGCACGCGCTGAATATGTTTGGGGGGCGCCAAGCAAATGCCTCACCTGTCGCCTGGGCACCGGCGGTGAAACATCACAGGAGTGAGCGCCCTGGGCCGAAGGATTGCATTTGCTTACTGGGTATAATTCTTCGTTTGACCATCCGACCAAAATGACGGAGACTCGTTTATTGGTGTGGTTAATTGTCTCTTTTACATACTATTTCTTAAAGTTCTTTGCTCTGGCTATTGGCTAAAGTGGACGTGAACTCATTGAAATGGTGATGATCGAAATGCTGCTATCTCACCCCGAAAGAATTACACGTCCAAATATCGGCCGGCGGCCGCGGATGACCTATTGAAATGCCATAGGGGTCTCCTGTAGTCAGCTGGAACACGACACCTGGCTGGGCTGGAGGTCTTCCACAGTCGTCCGCGAGATTGAAGTCGGTTTTTTGGTGCGCGGGTCGCAGACCGTCATACTTTGCCTGGACCGCGTATTATTGGAGCAATTTTTTTTGAAAAGTTTGAAAATGTACAAAGGGCTTTATGTAAAGTAGCCACTAAAATTAAAATACCAATTTCAAATTAAAAGATATGCGACATCATCCAGAACGATGAGTATATCAATTTTTGAGAAAATCCGCTAAACGGTTTAACGGCTAGCGTTGTTCGGACGGACAAACGTTTTGCCGTCAAGCGATTTTTCGCAATGGTTCTGGCTGCACCACGAGTTAGAGGTTTCTTTTCTAAATTTAGCAACACGATTTATCTACTTCTTTACCAGAACGCGGTAATGCGGTTTTTTTCTGACGACATTTTTACTGACGAATTTTTGAAACTGCGTTTTTCGCAGGCAAGAGATACTACTTTTTCAAATAATGAAAAAACTAATTTCCATTTATTTTGAAACTCAGACGATTTTATGCCAACCAAAAAAAGTGTACTTTAAATTACTACTCCAGAAGTAATTCTTCACTTTAGTATCAAGTTATTTTAGGGAGTAGGGAATGATTTTTACTTGATAAATCGTTCAGTGCACACGTAAATGATTAAATAATTGGGTTACAACTTAATGTTCAGGGCTCCTTTACCCGATACGTTAGCCCCAAATCAGAAGCAAGGGGCACTAACAAGAAAACGACTTTCCGATGATCACTTGTTTCCTCTTAAGCATATGACCTTGTTACGTGTATTCTGTACAAATGTAACGACAGTTTCATCACAATTAAACTCTCCCCAGAGGTAAAGCAGAGACAAATTTTGGCTACCAAAAGTTTTTCTGGAGTCCGGAGGGTCAGACGTGCTTTCAAAACGCCATTAGCTATTTATTTCCAGCAGAAAGTTCCTGTATTTGCAACGTATTCTTTATTTTGTTTCGTAGCACCACTTGCAGGGAGTCCGAATATCACTTGTGACCTATCACACCGTGACGTATATATGAGGCAGAGATGTGATAAATTTGAATATCCGCGCATCTGTCTCTGTCGCTGTAGCGGTGAACGCGCCTGAATATGCCACAATGAATCCAACATTGAAGGGCCAGAAATTATTGAAGGTTAAAAGAAACTTCTATAGTCTAACCCCGCACTGAATGTTTTTTCAATTAAGACCACACTTAATTTTCACTTCACTATAACCCTTAGATCACTTCCTTCATTATTTCTGTACTCTACACTGCACGACACCTCACTTCACATAAATCACTTATGCTTTGCCTGCGCTCTACAACCTAAAATACCTAATATAAGTCCCTCATTTACTTAGTAAAACCCTAAATTAATTTCCTAAACTGTTGAATTTATCGAGGAAGGAAAGTTCCCCACATCGCCTTCTCTGCAGTCTTAAATTTATTCTGTGCCCGTGATCCCCCTACTGGTGTATTTAGGAATACTTACACTTAGTAATGAGCGTGTTTCCATTTTCACGAACTACTGGGAAATCCTCTTCCTTCTACGAACATATTTATAACATTCTGACCAGTTATTTCCCTTCTCGTCTAGAATATTCCTTAAGTATGCTTCCTGAGCAATACTCCTTTCTCGCTCCAATTCTTTTGAACGATTTCGAAAAATATCCATATGTTCGTTACCGCGTTTTCTGTTATGGAATGCCTTTCTCGTATCCTCTTCATTCGCCTAATTTTTGCATTGTAGCATTCTTGGTCCGGATTATTTTTTAACATTTTGCAGAGAACGAACCTTTGCAAAGCTTCGTATATAATATCTTTGAACGCCCCCATATTTCTTCCATACCTCCTTCGATTGTCAGAAAGCGATTATATTGTTCACTAAAAGTACCTTGAAGCCCGTCTATGCTCTTTCCCTTGAAGCACAATTTTGCTTTCTTGTATTGCCGTACTTTTGTTCCTATCCTGATGCCTTTCCTTGGAATATTTTCGTCTAAGTCAAGAAGAACCGCTTTGTGGTTGTTAATGCCCTCAACAACTTCACATCATTCAGAAAACAGGAAAAGAGAATGACCATCCCATTGTTATTGGAGGAGACTTACAGGGGACAGGAAGTTCGGAGCGGCACGCGGCAGGATACGATTTTGGATGTCTACTTAATTAGGCTGAAAGAACTTTTTCAAATCTTATGATCATATGATCTTATGATCATTCATATGATTTATGGTTATCATCTTAATATATTTCATTAATAAAAACAATTTTATTTTACTTTACAATCAATTAACTCCAGTAAAGTAAATATTTTATGTTCACATTCTTTTGAATAATAAGATTTTTGATATTTCATTGCTGTTTCATGTTAAGTTGTTGGTTATGCCATTCTTTTTATTTGTAATTTCAAAACTCTCATTTTTATACCGTTAAAATGCAGCGAGATGAAACGGCCAGTTCAACAATTGCTGTTCCGCAGCGTCCCAGCAATGTGCTTGGCATGCGCGTGCAGAACACGTCCCGATCAGCCATCCGCGCCCTTCCGTCTCGCTCTTAAATGACCACTCGTCGCTAGGGATCAAACATTAGAGAAGCGTATCGCCACGAAGAGCTAATCAACAGACACTTCTATTGTCTTCAGTTAATAAACCAGCAATTAAGCAAATGAATTCTGTTTCATTTATTTCTCACTTGTGCATGACTGATATTTCCGTATTTAAGGGAACAACAGTAAAGTTGCTCATATTTAACTTAGAATTCAATGTAGTTATCTACATCGAAATTATAGAAAAGTATCCGTAGTGGAAGTAGGCAAAGTATTGCAACGTACCGACTCTACTTTATTCCTTGCTATGTGAACTTTCATTCAGGTTCGGATGAGTTGTTCGGTGGATGGGTTTGAGTGGCGTAAATGTGATGGTAAAGTTTGAGTAATGATACAACAATGGTGTGGTGCAGAAGATACAGAAAATCAGAGTCACCGCAAAGCATCTTTGTCCACATAAAGCGACTGCATTTTGTTTCCCTGTCCCTGCAGAGGCACGCGAGTGCCCTGTCCTCTACACCACGAGTGTCCCCTACGCAGTTGTACCTGCCCATTCGTAGTTGATGAGTAGGTAGGCCTTGTGCAGCGCGTTCCAAATGGCAGCCATCTTCCCAGTTGCTGCAGCTTATCCGTGCGAAGTGCAGTCCCAGACACTCACAGCCCCACTGCCACTGCACGCTGCCCTCACGTCCTCTTCAGAGCCTGCCCTCCCCGCTCCCTCTGCTTCTTTACGCCGACCTTGAGATTCTCCTGGCGGACGCCATGTGTGAGGTTGTTTGCGACACTCTTCGTCGTTCTTGTTATTTAAATAGAAACGTATCGATCTGTTAATCCTGCGAAAGGCCTTCATGCTAGGCAATTAACTTT